CCAGCTCTACAATGTGTTATCTCTGATTCCAGCATCGGCAGTTCTTACTATCTTTAAATTTAACTGAATATGTTTGTGTCTTTGATTCAGTATCCTAGTTTAAATTTCCTTTTAACGCTGATGATCTATTCCATCTTGGGCCTTCGTATAGTTATTTTTAAAAAAATATATACAGGAAAGAGAGGGACCACCAAGGGCACATACCACCAAAGGAGTCAGGAATTAGGTACCGTCTCCAAACCCAATCAGGATCTTGTATATTTCAATCAAGTTGCCTCTTACTCTACTAAACACAACGGATATAAGTCTAGAATGTTAAACTTTTCCTGAGCTATTGCTCATATTATTCCAGTAATCCTTCTGTGAAATGCTTCCAATGTGTTTACACTTTTCCTTAAATAAGGAGACCAAAACTTGACATAATATTCCATTTGTGATCTCACCCAGCCCCTGTAGAACCATAACCACCTTACTTCTGTATTAAATTCCCCCATGCAATAAACTATAACATTACATTAGGTTTCTTAATTTCTTGCTGTAAGCTCATAATAGCTCTTTGAATTTCATGCACAAGGACAGCCCGGTCCATTTAGATAATATATATCTCTTTTATTCTTCCTGCCAAAATGGACAATTTCATAATAACCCACATTGTATTTATCAGATTTTTGTCCATTAACCTATCTATATTCTTTCGTAGGCTCCTTCTACACTCTTCACAACTCACTTTCCTACCTACCTTTGTGTCATCAGCAAATTTAGTCACCATACCTTCAACCCTTCCACTGTATCTCAGTACATGTGGCAATAATAAATCAAAACAAGTCATTTATTTAAATCCAAACCGTGTGGCAGACCACGTCTTACACCTTGCCACTTAGAAATGACCCTTTGTGCCTACTCTGTTTCCTGTTAGCCAGTTAATCTTCTATCTATGTCAACATGTTATACCCCCGATACACATCAAGAGCTTTTACTTTCTGTAATGTCCTTTGATGTGGCCTTATCAAGTATCTTCTTAAAAAAATTCTGTTATGGGATGTGGGTGTCTCTGGGTGGGCCAGCATTTATTTCCTATCCTCATTGCCCCTTAGACTGTGATGGTGAACTGCCTTCTTGAACCGCTGCAGTCCATATGTTGCAGGTAAACCTTCTGGTATCATAGTGCTAGTATCCAGAAAGACTGAACAATAGACCTGTGAAGGATGGGGTGGGGGGAGGAAAGGATTCTGATGTTTTCACTTCCATCAGTGTGTGTGTGTTGGGTGTTTGGTTGTTGACCCCCATTGTGTAGCCACTCCCCAGGTGACTTCTATCTGGCAGGGAAGATCAATTCAGCGACTGGCTGTAGGGTCCTGTGGATTGTGCGAGTGCAAGAGCAAAACCTCAGAAAGCACCGACTGCTGACTCCCAACCAAAAATCACTACATTGACAATACTGAGCAAAGGTAAGGTCAGGGTCAATGATCCAGGTTTTAACACCAGGCCAATGAGGAAACACGAGAATGGCCAGCACCCACAGACTATTAATTAGATTATGTCCCTCAGTTGTCAGTGGGTCAAAATCCTGGGTCTCCCTTTCCAACCATGATAAGTACCGTCATCACAGACTGTAATTGTTCAAGAAGAATCTCCTTGGATATGGGAACTGAACTGGAGGATTGTTGACCAGACTTGATGGGCCAAAGGACCTTTTTCTGTGCTGTTAGATCTCTGAGACTACTGTTGTACAGTTCAAAAAAGTAAGGAGTAAATTGGGTTGCAAAAGTTACTTTAGCGTCAGTGATGGGAAAACCACTAGAGATTGCCATCAAGACAAAATGAATTCTTGCTGCAAGAAGCAGGGATTAATAAAGGGCACCCAACAAAGATTTGCTGAAGGCTAATTGTGACTGTTCTTACTGAGTTCTTTGATAAAATAATAGAACGGATGCTGATGAAAATAACAATAACTCATTTAGATGGATTTTTTAAGGACATCAGTTCACCACATAACAGGCTGATTCTGAAAACTGAAGCACATGGGATCAAAGAGACAGCAATGGCAGACAGACCCTTAGTGAATAATGTTTCTCTGATTGGAGTGAAGAGGGCTGTAGGTTCTTCTCATGCTCAGTAATACAACCATCACCTTCAAATGACCTGAGTATGTGGAGCACAATTTGAAGTTTGCGGATGATGCAAAACTTGTCAACAAAAATGTGACTCTGATAATAGCCAAATTCAGAAGGACGTATGGCAGAGACAAATGGATTGGTAACCAAGAGTCTCAGGCTTAAATCGTTTCACAGGAGAACGGGAGAGGAAATAAGATTTTTCACATGGAGAATAGTTAAGATCTGAAACATGTTATCTGAAAGAACAACAAAATCACATTCCATAGGCACAGTGAAAGGGCAATTGGACCTATACTTGAGGAGGATTGATCTGCAGCATTATGAGTGAAAAAGCTAGGGTCGGGGACTGCTTTGAGGAGCTCTCAAAGAGCCAGCACGTACTTATCAGGCTGAATGGCCTCCCTCAGTGCAGTGCGATTGTGCCTGTATGCCAGCCTTGGCCAGAGGCTCCCACATCCCAAAAATTAATTTTGAGCAACATTTTACAGTTAAAATACACTAAAAACAGTTGACAGCTGAAGATTGTGTTAATTTTCTTATGATTAAAGTCTCAGATGTATTCGATAGCACGTTCCAAACTCTCAAACATTGAAGGACAAAGAGAGCAGATACATGGGAACACCATTTCCTCCAAATTCCCCTCCACGTCACTCACCATCCTGACGTGGAAATATATCACCGTTCCTTCACTGTCATTGGGTCAAAATCCTGGAATTCCACCCCTAATGGTATTGTGGGCCTACCTGCAGATCAAGGACTGGAGCAGTTAAAGAATGCAGCTAAACACCACCTTCACAAAGGCAACTAGGAACAGGCGATAAATGCTGGCCCAGCCAGCAACACCCAAATAAACGAATTTTTAAAAACCCTCCAAAGAAAGAAACTTGTCAACCTTGGACTGACCTGGGACCTTTGTCCTATATCCCATAATTGTCCTGAAATGTCTAATTGCCATCTGAACTAGTTCTATGATTGACTCAGAATGTGTCAAGCATTCTCAAGACAAGTGATAAATTTTGGCCTCGTCATTGAAGTCTCTGTCCTGAGAATGAATATTAAAATAAAACTCCTATCTAGCCAGCCCTTTCACCTACATTTCATCATGCTGACAGCTTTGAGGTCATGGTAAGTGAGTTACAATCAAAGTAAATAGTTTTGTGCAGTCTGTTCTGTTGTTATGAACTTTGTAACATTTATCTGTTGATAAGTTGAGTAAAGTTCTGGGGTGTCCATGGTCAGGTTGGGTAGGGAGGTAGGTTATGAAGGGCAGTGTGACTGTTTGTGGGATGTTAACTCATTCCAACTCATGAATTCTGTCTGCGTCAAAGTGAGGAATGTTATTGCCAGGGAGTGGAACAGGTTTCTCATTCAGGCACCCAGTGTCCACATAAAGCAACAGACCAAACACACAGTCCAGCTCTGTCACCTGGGAAAGGAATCAAAGTAGCTCAGTCCCACTCTCAGAAGATCCTTAACGGGATGAATAGAGTAGTCAGGATCAGTTTGCTCTTGTGGCAGAGTCCCAGACATTGGGGCATAATCTGAAAATTAAAGCTGGGTCATTTACTTGAGAATACAAGAATGCACTGCTCCTGGTGGGTAATACTTGATAATTTGTCTTTTAATTAGTAATATGGTTGATTTGGTGCTGGTTTAAAAAGAAAGTTCAGAAGTGAGTAATAGCATCTCTGCATTTTTTAAAAATCATTCATTCATAGGATGTGGTGTTACTGGCTGTGCCAGCATTCATTACCCATCCCTAATTGGCCAGATGGCAGTTAACAACCAGTGGGTTTGGAGTCACATGTAGGCCAGATCAGGTAAGGATGGCAGTTTTCTTCCTTAACAGGCATTAGTGAACCAGATGGGATTATTTTCCACCAGTTGACAATGGTTTCATAGTCATCATTAGACTTTTAATTCCAGATTTTTATTGAATTCACATTGTACCATCTGCCATGGTGAGATTTGAACCTGGGTCCCAGAACATCACCTGAATTAACAGTTGAGCAATAACACCAGGCCATCACTGCCCTTTAAATAGAGAGAAAAGAAAAGACAAAATAATTAGGAGCAGGAGTTGACAAACAGTGATGTCGGGAAGTTCTTGCACTAAGACCAGTGGAAATCTGGAACGCTGTCTCTGCGCCCAGAGCTTTTGATGCTGTGGACCAATTGGAGCTTTCAAGACTGATATTGAAGGGTTTTTAAAAACCGAAAGAACTGCGGATGCTGTAAATCAGGAACAAAACCAGAAGTTGCTGGAAAAGCTCAGCAGGTCTGGCAGCATCTGTGAAGGAAAAAACAGAGTTAACATTTCGAGTCGGTGACCGTTCCTCAGAACTTTTTTCCAGGATGCGGCAAGAGCAGCTGTCCATGTTGAAGGATTTTTATTGGGTGAGGGTATGAAGGGGTAATGGAGTTAAATTCAGATTGGTCATGATTTAATTCTCGTGGTGGAACAGGCCAGCTTCCTATCCACAACTCTATTCTTGAGCCTTAGCCCCATTTGCGTTCTGCTACACCAGTGTGTCCTTCCCAGTTTTGTGTTGAAATAGGGGGATTTTGTGGCTCCCTGATGACTGAGAATTCGATTCCTCCCCACCTCCACCCCCCCCCCCCCACACACACACACACACACGCACACAAACTTAACTCATGCTGCACCATTTCCTCCGACTGACCTGTTCCCAAATTTCAAACCCGATCCCAGAGGCGAAGAATCAGAGCTTAAACCAATGCTGCCTTGGTTTAACATTTAACATTTAACAGTTACTTAAACCCCTGAACACTCCCCGCACCCCGCCGCCCGCCTCCCGCCTCCCGCCTCCCCAACACATGAGCTTCCAAAGAGAAAAACGACCGATGGGACTTCACCAAATCCAAATCCTGTCAGACAGAACACAAGGGGGAATCTTAGGACAGCTGGTCTACAGATGAGTTTAGTTGTAGAAACATATATAGAAACTCAAAGCAGGAGTAGGCCATTCAGTCCTCCAAGCCTGCTCCAACATTCAATATGATCTCAATGCCATAATCCCACTTTCTCCCCACATCTTTTGGTGCCTCAAAATCTAAAAATATATCTGTCTTTTTCTTGAATGTATTTAGTGACTTTGCCTCTATAGCCTTCTGTGGTAGATAATTCCACAGGTTCACTTTGAATTGAAACATTTTTCATCATCTCGGTCCACAATTGTCTACGCTGTATCCTGGCACTGTATCTCCTGGATCTAGACTCCCCAATGGAGGGAAACACCATCCCTGCATCTAGTCTATCCAGCCGTGTTAGAATATTTTACATTTCAAGCAGATCCCCTCTCATCCTTCTAAACTCTAGTGAATACAGGCCCAGGTGAACCATGGGACAATACCTCTCGTATCAGTCCAGTGAACCTTTGCTGCAGTCCCTCAATGGGAAGTCTATCGTTTCGGAAGCAGAGGCCTAAAGGGGAAGTGAGGGAGCCAGAAAGGGAGAGAGGCGTTTCGAGGGGAAGCTGTTGAGCTCAGTGCCAGAACAGTACATCGACCCACAAGGATCACAGGACCAGGTTGAGGAGGCCAATCAGCCCTCACAAAGTTATTTGGTCATTCAGTGAAGGTATGATTGTACATTGTGTGAGCTCTGGGGAGGATGGAGTGGAAGTACACAAGGAGCTGACGCAGAAGGAACCCTGAGATTTCGAAGGGTTGTCAGAACAGAGGTGGGAACACAGAAAGGCCGTGGAGGAATGTGAACCCAAAGACAAGAATTTAAAAATGGAAGCTTTGGTCTAACGACAAAGATTCAGTTGTGGAGGGCAATTTTTGCTGGTGGTTTGTTGTGGTACTGAGGTGCTTAGATCCAAATCCAACCTTGCAGTCCAAGCTATCAGCTTTCCTCTGGATACCTCTGAAACTGTGGTATATTTAACACACAAACACACGCCCATTGGGCGCCAATCTATCGGCATGAGACAGTTACAGCTTGTTACAAAATAGAAGGTCGTGTTTCCTTCTCGGGAAAACTGGTGAGACCTGCCCCCTTCTGGTTCGTCTTACAAAATCAAACACAACTTGGAGGTCTGCCGCGCCGCACCATTGGGTTTGTTAGGGTCTTTCCTCGGCTCCTTGGCTCCAGCCTGTTGCCGTGAGAGGGCCGGGACGGTGTCGGGGGCTCTCCTCCTCTGCACCCGGTGCAGCACGATGCGGTACGTGCCCGTGATGGGGCTGCGTGAGTCCTTGCCGACGTTGTCCAGGATATGGGAGTCTGTCACCCCCAGGCGGGTCAACGCCTGCTTCACCTCGGCCTGGTCCCCCCTCAGAGCCTCGGCAGAGCCGACCAGGTGGGAGGGGTCCAGCCGGAAGGGTTCGTGGCCTTTCGCCAGCCGGACACCCCCCAGCCACTCGCTGCGGGCAATCTGAGCCACGGTGTGCCGCTCGGTAGGTGCCGGTCTCAGGATACCACGGATCAGCCTCTGGCACGGCTCGGTCAGGTGCTGTGGCAACTGGTACCCACCCTCCAGGATGCACTTCTTCAGCTTGGCCACAGTGTCTGCCCGGAAGGGCATGGTGCCCACCACCATGAAGTACAGCAGGACCCCCAATGCCCAGATGTCCACAAAGACCCCCACGTAACTCTCGTCCCGGAAGAGCTCCGGCGCGGCGTAGGGGGGCGAACCGCAGAAGGTGCTGAGCAGCTGGTCCCTCCGGCATGTGGTGCTGAAGCCGAAGTCGCCCACTTTCACAAAGCTGCCGGTCACGTAGAAAACGTTCTCCGCCTTCAGGTCCCGGTGAATCGTGTTGTTCTCGTGCTGCGAGAGCAAGGAGTTGGGGGGTGGGGGAGAGAGACAGGAATCACAACCAGTCAAATAAATCCAAACCACCGCGGATGCTGGAAGTCTGACATTAAAAAAAACACGGAAACTGCTGGAGAAACTGCAGCAAACTCTGGCAGCATCTGTGGAGCGCGGACACAGAGCAGTTAAAAGGACCAGAAGAAATAGGAACAGGAGGAGTAGGTCATTCGGCCCCTCGCGCCTGTTCTGTCAACCAACAGGATCGGGGTGATCTGGCATTCCTCACGTCCACTTTCCTGTTTTCCCTGTAATCCTTGATTCCCCTTCTGATCAAGGACCTATCTATCTCAGCCTTAAATATACACAAGGATTCTTCCCCCTCAACTCTCTGTGGTAAGAAATTCCTCCTCATCTCAGTGTTAAATTGCACCCCCCACCGCCCTTTATTCGGAGGCTACGCCCTCTGGTCCTAGACTCTCCCATGAGGGGAAATATCCTCTGAGCATTTACCCTGAAAAGCCCCGTAAGAATTCTAATTAGTTCGATAAGATCAGCTGTCATTCTTGTAAATTCCAGTGAGTAGAGTCCCAACTCGTTTAACCATTGCTCATAAGACAATTTCTCCTCAAGAGTCAGCCAAGTTGCTGTGTGTCTGGAGTCACATGTAGGCCACACCAGATAAGGATAGCAGACTTCCCTCTCTGATGGACAAGACTGACAGAGCCATTGCAAGGTCTGCTGCTGTGTAGCGAGAATGTTTTTCAGATGAGAGCTCAGACCGAGGCTTTGTGAGCCGAGGTGTGTGTGGGGCTCTCACAGCGAACACTGGAAGAACAGGTGGGGGAATAGGGGGTGTAGAGGCCATGAAGGAATCTGCTTGCTCTCCTGGCCAGTATAGGTTCCTCAACTGACAACAAAAACAAGACCCTCTCACTGCTGTTTGTGGAATCTTGCTGCACACATTTCTGAGCAATAGCACATCATAAGATGACTAATCTGGGATATTACTGCTGACTGGAAAGGGGTCAGGAATACTGGTTTTACTTAAATCCCTATCCCTTCACAGCCTGTATGCCTCACCCAAAAGTCATCAGAATCTCCTCATCCCAGGGTCACTGGGCACAGTTTCCCTATATTAAGACTCACTCTGAAACTGAGGAGGTTTCTTGGAGAGAAACCTGTGGCTTTTTCTTCATCTAAAAACCCTTGGATCAGTTCTGATGAAGTGTTAATGGACTCGAAATGTTAACTCTGCTTCTCTCTCCGTAGATGCTGCCAGACTTGCTGAGTTTCTCCAGAACTTTCTGTTTTTGTTCCTTCAGATCTTATCCCATTTAGGAATCTCCGGAACCCAGCAACACCAAGCTGTAATTGCTCCAGGATTCCCCATCGTCTCACCCCTGACCCCCAGGTGGATAATCAGCACCTAGAGGGCAGGGGTTGCTGGGTGGGAAAGGGAGGAAGTGGAGGCTAAGACCATAAGAAATAGGAACAGGAATAGACCATTCAGTCCTTCAAACCTGCACCACCACTCAAAGGATCATGGCTGATCCAACCTTCCTCACATACACTTTCCAGCTTTTCCCTGTAACCCTTGATTCTCCAACTGATCATAAATTTGAGATGAAAGGTTGCTTGAAGTGTTGTGTGTGTTTTGTCTGTGTGTGTGTGCGCGCGCATGTGTCGGGAGGGTGCGTGTTTGGATAGGGTTCATGGCGGGGGAGGCTCTCCTGCCTGGATTAAGCTCCTCAGTTTTGCTCAGAGGAGTCTGAATCGAGAGACCTACCTTCCCCCATCCCCTGGGCTGGTCCTGCCCACACTAGTTGCAGGATCCTGCCCAGGTAACTGTAGCTCAAGACGGTGGGTCAGGGACGAGGCCTTTGGCGGGTCAGTAATTGACCAGTTCAGGGCTTTATTTGGTGATGGGATGGGAAGGCCATCCATAGGCCATCCCTCCCAGAATTCAGTTTTGGAGATGGCAAGGAAAGGGCAGACATCCCTCCAGTGCCAACCCCTTACCTGCCCTGCCATCTCACCAGTGGCAGGTTCTGCCCACAAGCCTCGTGTTGACTGATGATTTTACATAAAATGTTTCTGGTCAATGGTGACCCCCAGGATGTTGATCGTGGGCATTCAGTGATGGTAACACCATTGAATGTCAAGGGGTGTTGGTTAGATTGTCTTTTATTGGAAATAGTTATTGCATGGCATTTGTGTGGCATGAATGTTACTTGCCACTCTGCAGCCCAAGCCTGGATATTGTCCAGTTCTTGCTGCACTTGGATATGGACTGCTTCAGTTCGGAGGAGTTGTGAATGGTGCTGAACATTGTATAATCATCAGTAAACATCCCCACTTCTGACCTTATGATGGAGGGAAGGTCATTGATGAAGCAGCTGAGGATGGTTGGGCCGAGGACACTACCCTGAGGAACTCCAGAGAAGTTCTGGAGCTGATATGACTGACCTCCAGCAACCACAACCACAACCATTTTCCTATGTGCCAGGCATGACTCTAACCAACAGAGAGTTTCCCCAATTCCCACTGATTCCAGTTTTGATTGGGCTCCTTGATGCCACACAGATGTCAAGGGCTGTCACTCTGACCTCACCTATGGAATTCAGCTCTTTTGTCCATGTTTGAACCAAGGTTGTAATGAGGTCATGAGTTGAGTGGTCCTGGCAGAACCCAGTGACTGGGCATCCCTGAGCAGGTTATTGCTGAGCAGGTGCTGCTTGATAGCATGTAGTTCCTACTATCTCTGATACAATTTTAACCCCACTGCGAAGCCTCTTCTTAGGCAGCTTTCCTGCTCCTACGATGCTGCTTGGCCTGCTGTGTTCATCCAGCTCTACACCTTGTTATCTCAGATTCTCCAGCATCTGCAGTTCCAACTATCTCTGATGACACTTTCCATCACTTTACTGATGATCAAAAGTAGATCACGGGACAGTAGTTGGCCAGGCTGAATTTGTTCTACTTTTCGTGTACAGGACATACCTGGGCAGTTTCCCACACTGTCTGGTAGATGCCAGTGTTGTAACTGTACTGGAACAACTTGGCTAGGGAGGCAGCAAGTTCTGAAGCATAAGTCTTCAGTACTATCGCTCTACAGACCCAATTTCCTCAAACTGTCCTCCTAGGACAATACAACATTCCAGGCGTGAATCTGATGAACTTGCATTGCACTTCCTCTCTGTCAAATTTATTCTTCTTTTGATAAGGAGATGAAAACTGCACTCAGTCCTCCAGGTGTGGTCTCACTAAGGCCCCGTTTAACTGCAGTAAGACAAACTCAACTCATATCCTGTTGCAACAAAGGCCAATTTAACTTTTGGCTTCCTAATTGCCTGCTGCACCTGCATGCTAAGCTGTGAAAAAGGACACTCAGATCCCTTTGGACATTTACATTTCCCAACTTCTCATTACTTAAGAAATATTCTGCTCTTTGATTTTTGTACCCAAGTGAATAACTTCATACTTATTCAGATTATAAAGTCTTATTTTTCTGTGTTTTCAATTGGCTCCCAAGGAGCTGAACAGCCATTCAACTGCCTTCCCTATCTTTCCTTCTCCCATAACACCAATGTTTTTGTGTCTGTCTGTGTCTATGTATATATAGATTTTTATAAGGGGATTGAATGAACAGGGTTATATGTCAATCGTTAGTAATTGTTTATTTGTAGTGAGATATATGTATTTGTAACAAATGATCATTCTTGTTACTACATGAACTCAATCTGTGTTTTCTGTGAATCTGAGTCTAAAAGAGGTAAATTAGGGAATCTTGCTACTTTTATAAAATCTTCTTTTGTGATGATTCTGGGAATAAAAGGTCTTGATCTCCAGTGTACTAGTCCCAGTGTGGGAATGACAGTGTTCTATTCCAACTGCCCATTCACTTAGCTTGACCAAGTTCTCTTGAAACCTCTTTGCAACCTCCTCACAATTTACATTCCCACCCATACCTGTATTTATCTTTATTGATCTTTTCTGTTTCATACATTGTTAGCTTTTACAGTCCATCTTTATGTCTCTGAATCGTTTATTCTCTTTTTCCATAGTCTTATGTATTCTTATTCTATTTTCCCTTTCCTTATCATTTTCTTTGTTCCCCTTCGTTGCATTCTATGCTGTGTCATCAGCAAGTTTGGAAATGATACAACAACGTTATCAACTCTTTGTCTGTCCAACTGCTGTTCTTTCTCTTTAGGGTCTATACTATCGTTTACTCCCTACCCTATACCTCTCCCATTTTTTCTGCATATAAACTGATGTTTCCCAGCCACCATCAGTTCTGAGGAAGGGTCACCAGACCCGAAACGTTAACTCTGTTTTTTCCTTCACAGATACTGCCAGACCTGCTGAGCTTTTCCAGCAACTTTGTTGTTGTTGTTGTTGTGTTGGAAATGATACAATTGGTCCTCACATCCAAACCATTGATATAGATTATGAACAGTTGTGAATCTCGCACTGAAAATTGCCATACCTCCCTGCCTATCATCCTGAATATGATGTGTTTATTCCTACTTTCTGCCTTTTGTTTAGTAACCAACCCTCAATCCATACCAGTGCATTCACCCCACATCTCATCTGCGTTAATTTTACTTATTAACCTCTTGTGGGGGACTTCTTCAAAAGCCGCCTGAAAATTAAATACACATCCATCCATGATGCAAGCTCAAAAAACTCCAACAAGTTTACGAAACAGGATTTCCTTTTCATAAACCCACATTGACTTTGCACAATGTTGCCATTCATCTCTAAATGCCCAATTATCACATAATTTGACCCACAGACATTTAAAGCACAGGAAATCACTCAGCCTATTGTGTCTGTGCTGGTCAACAAAGATCTGACTACACTTATCCCATTTTCCAGTTTTTCACCCAAAGCATTGGAGGCAATGGCAATGCAAGTGAATATCTGAATGCTGCTTAAATGTTCCAAGCCTTTCTGACTCAACCACCCTTTCAGGCAGTGAGCTTCCAACTCTCATCAGGCCTCAATTCTCCTCTTAGCCTTCTACCTGTTACCTTAGATCCATATCCACTGGTTATTGACCCCTCTACTAATGGGAAAAACCTTTCCTATATACTCTATCTATGCCCCACATAACCTTATTCACCTCTGTTTGGTTCCCTCTCAGCCTTCACTGCTCCAAGGAAAGCAACCTTAGTCTGTCCAATCTTTCCTCATAGCTCAGACCCTCCAACACAGGCAACATTCTGGTAAGTCTCCTCTGCAATGTCACTAGTACAATCATATCCCTCCCATAATGTGCTGACCAGAACTGCACACAGTTGAGGCCTAACTAGCACGTATTATAGATTCCAACACTTTTCCCTAATACTGGCTAACACTGACATCTAGTTAACAGATCTGTAATTCTCTGCTCTCCCTCTTCCTCCCTTCTTGACTAGTGGAGTTACGTTTCCCACCTTCTAGTCTGTAGGTTACTTTCTATATTCTATACAATTACAAAAGATAACCACTAATGCATCCACTCTCTCAATTCTTACTTCCTCCAACACTCTGGGATGAAGCTCGGCTGGTTCAGGAGATATATCAACCCGAATACTACCTCTTTACCAAGACTGATTTCTTTTAGCTCTTCAGTTACATCGTCCCTTGGTGAGCTTGATTTTCTGGCAGATTGTCTGCTTCCTCTTACTGGAAGACAGATGCAAAGTAATTGTTTAGTTTCTCCCGCAGTTCCCTTCTCTTCACTATAAATTTTCTGGTCCCCTCTAAAACAGGCCTACCTTTATTCTTGCTAAACTTTTCTCTTTGACAGAAGTCACACAACACCAGCTTATAGTCCAATAGATTTATTTGAAATCTTGATTTCAAATAAACCTGTTGGATTGTAACCTGGTGTCGTGCGATTTCTGACTTTGTCCACCCCAGTCCAACACTGGCACCTCCACTTAGAAACTTTTTACAGTCCACTTTTATATTCTTCGCCTGCTTATATTTATATTCTCCTCTTCATCCCTCATCAGTTTTTTTGACCTCCTCTGCTGGGTCTTAACTTGTTCCCAATCATCAGGCTATATCTCACATTCTTAGCAGCCACTTCGTTTCATCTAATGCAATCTTTAATTTATTTTATTAATCCCAGTTAATTGACCTTTCTATTTGGGTGTCTGGCCCTACAGGAATGTATGTCTGTTGTAGACCTTGTAGTAATTTTTAAAATATTAACCATTGTCTGTCAATCAATCAATATTTTAGTATATTTCCCCAGCACTTTAGTCAACTTGCTGCTCATACCCTCATCGCTTCCTTTGCTCAGATTGAAGATCCTAATTTGTGAATGTAATATTCAAACTTCATATCATTTGTTTTTGTTTGTTCATGGGATAGGGGCGTCACTGGAAAGGCCAGCATTAATTGCCCAGCTGGAAGTCAGAGTCAACCACATTACTGTGGGTCTGGAGTTACAAACAGACCAGACCAGGTAGGGATGGCAGATTTCCTTCCCTAAACGGCATTAGCGAACCTGAAGAGTCTTTTTAACAACAATCGGCAATGGTCACCACGGTTGGTGACTTTTATTCCAGATTTTTGTTTTAATTCAACTCAGGTGACACCCTCTGCCTTGGTGGGATTCAAACCCACATGCCCAGAACATTAACCTGTGGTTCGAAATGATGAGTCCAGTGACAATACCACTACTTTAAAAACAAAGGACTACAGGACCAGAGCAGAGATTGTAGGACCAATCAGGTATCTCTTCCAAATACTGAGTTGAGGGACAGTGAGCTGACTAGCCTCTCCTAGGCTATAGCTTTCCAGCTGGCTGTTACATTATGAGCGCTTACCATGTGTTTAACTGCTGAGACAATCTGTGCAAAGACCACCTTGCTGTCCTCCTCTGAGAGCCTGCCTTCGGTACTGATTTTGGTGAACAGCTCGCCCCCACCAGCATACTCCATGACCAGGTGAAGCTTGGACAGAGTCTCAATCACTTCGTACAGCCTGATGATGTTGGGGTGGTGCAGGCGCTCCATGCTGGAGATCTCCCGTGACAGCAGGCGCTGGGTCTTCTGCCCCAGTTTTGTCTTGTCCAATATCTTGATGGCGACTTTCTCTAAATGTGAGAAAGAAACCGGGTCACACCACCTATTCCCTCTACAAGGACCCTCAGGTAAAAGCACACGTTGATATCAATGGCATATTAGTGATATCGTTGAGATACATAGGTGAAGGGGCTTGTTTAATTCAATACCTAGAGTACTCCTTAAGAGAGACTGCTGCATGGGATTCGAACAACTCCCTAAAACTAAATTTCAATTCCAATTTTGTATGAATGTCATTTCTGGGATTTCTTTTATTTCAGTTCCCCTTTAAAGGGTTACTTCCTGATTAATTTGTTTAATTTGGATTAATTGGTCTCACCCAAAATAATTTAGTGAGATGCTTTGCAGGAGCATAATCACCCCTAAAGATGAAAGTTGAATTAAAGGCAGTGTCTGCCTTAGACTTCAAATGTGTATGATTCCAGCAGCAACATCCAGTCAAATTTCAATGATACCATGTGCATGGCCACACAATTAGGGGGAGTGTAGACAGGAGTAGTGAGGATGGGGAGAGTAAGGATGGGGGAGAAGTGAAGATGGGGGAGTGAGGATGGCGTTTGTGAGGATGGGGTGAGTGAGGATGGGGGCAGTGAGGATTGGATAGGAGTGAGGATGGGGGAGAGTGAGGATGAGGAGACTGTGGAGATGGGGGTACTGGGGATGGGGGGAGTGAGGAAGGTGGGGAGGGGTGAGAATGTGAGTAATGAGGACGGGGGAGTGAAGATGAAAGGATAGTGAGGATGGGGGCAGTGAGGATTGGGCAGGAGTGAGGATGGGGGAGAGTGAGAATGGGAGTAATGAGGATGGGGGACTGAAGATGAAGGGAGAGTGAGGATGGGGTTAGTGGGGATGGGGGGTGAGGAGAGGGGGGAGTGAGGATGGGCGGTACTGGGGATGGGGGAGAGTGAGGATGAGGGAGAGTGAGAATGGAGTAATGAGGATGGAGGAGTGAAGATGAAGGAAGATTGAGGATAGCATTAGTGGGGATGAGGATGGGGGAGAGTGAGGAGGAGGAGTGAGGATAGGTGGTACTGGGGATGGGGGAGAGTGAGGATGGGGGAGAGTGAGAATGATGGGGGAGTGAAGATGAAGGGACAGTGAGGACGGGGAGACTGTGGAGATGGGGGTACTGGGGATGGGGAGGGGAGTGAGGACGGGGGGTAGTGAGAATGGGAGTAATGTGGATCAGGGAGTGAAGATGAAGGGAGAGTGAGGATGGGGTTAGTGGGGATGGGGGGTTGAGGATGGGGGAGAGTGAAAATGGAAGGACAGTGAGCAAGCTGTACAAGGGAGACAGATGCTCCCCTGTCTTTCAGCCCCCCAAATCCCAGGCGCTCTCTCTCGCTCTCCCCGGGCTTTACAACGCCCACCAAAACTTTCCACTTTGACTTTCCTTCTGTGTTAATATTGCCCTGTCTGTCTCACTGTCAAACTGCTGAGGGGATAAACAGAGAGTGCTGGAGAAACACAGCAGGTATGGCAGCATCGTGGACAGAGAAACAGGATTAATGTTTTAACAGAAGCAGAACCCCAGAACAGTTCTGATGAAGGTTCACTGGACTCGAAATGTTAACTCTGTTTCTGTCTCCACAGATGCTGCCAGACCCACTGAGTTTCTCCAGCAATTTCCATTTTCCTTTCAGATTTCCAGCATCCGCAGTCCTTTGTTTTATTTTGCTATTTGCTAGCGTTTGTCTGAAATTCCTTGGGATGATTTTGACCGCATTGAAGAGGCTAGGCGCAAGCTGGCATCATTACTTTGCTGAACAGCAATCAGCAGCGAGCAGCTGGCCACATCGTCAATACAGACCAGCCTGGTCCTGGGGGCTCTCGTTACCTCTCGTGAGCAAGTGGACGCCAAGCTTGACCTGAGAGAAGTTTCCACTGCCGATCTCGCCTCGCACACGGTAGAACCCGATCCGCTTCCCCAGCATCAGCTCCTTGACTGCCCGCTCATCATGCACCATCTCCTGTGACAGTTTCTCCAGAGTGGTCAACCTACGTGGCTGCCCACCATCTTCCTCAAAGACCTCTGGCCGAGTGCTGTCCTCTGAGCTGTTCTCCCGACTCCACTGGGCATAGCACTGGTTCACCATGGTGCCACCATTGGCGCAAACTGTGCTCATAGTCTGGAAGGGGCACTTTTCCACTTTTGGAATGGGCTCTCCTTCCCAAGCCTACATCCCACCCGGATCTTGGCCGGTGCCTCAATGGTAACACTCTGGCTGCGGAGATGAATGAAAGATTCAGGGTTCAAATCCCACTCCTGGTCCTGGATACAATAAAGAAAAATCAGAGCTGACAATCCCAGCAAGATGCCAGAGGGAGGCGCAGTTTTGTAAATGAGGGACCCACAAGTCAGACTCTCTCAGATGGGCGCGACAGGTTCCATGGCCACTACTTTATAGAGCAAGGGAGTTGTCCCAGTCAATACCTATCCCTCGACCAATATCACTTAAAAAAACAGATTATCTGGTCAATATCGTATTGCTATTTGTGGGATCTTGCTGTGTGCAAATTGGCAGCCAGGTTTCTATATGTTACAACAGTGATGACACTTCAAAAGTGATTCATTGGCTAATCAAGTTCTCCATGATGTCCTGAAATTGCTCTACAAATGCAACTCTTTCGCGGCTGGAGTTCAAGGTCTAGCACATGGCAAAAGGTGCCCTTCATTGGCATCCTGTTTCCAATGAGGCCATTCACTGCCTTCCAGTTGTTGCTCAGGTCGGAGCGTTAAACGGGCTAGAATGGACAAAATACAGAACGGGAAGGAAGGTCCTACGGATTATCTGACAGAACTATTCTTTTTCTCTGCAAGCAGACTGGGCACAGCTTCCTCTCGTCTGTTGGTGGGGACTGCATTGGAGATTTGACACCGAGGGGTAAACCTGTCACTCAAAACATACTTTTTTCAACCTTTCCTTTGTATTTATTGAAAGGTGCCTTATGTTCCAACATCCCTCAAGGAACAGTTGAACAGGAACCAATGTATCCAGAAGACTTGCAGGTCAGTGTTGGTGGAAGTATGTGTTGGTTTAGCACACCTTCATTGTTGGGTTACCTATCTGGCATTCAGTCTGGCAGTCTCTCCTTTTCTGATGAAGGGTCTAGGCCCGAAACGTCAGCCTTTCTGCTCCTATGATGCTGCTTGGCCTGCTGTGTTCATCCAGCCCTGCACCTTGTTGTCTCGGATTCTCCAGCATCTGCAGTTCCTACTATCTCTGGCAGTCTCTCCCGCTCTCTAACCTGAAGTGTCTGCTGAGTGTAATCCTTCCGTCTGTCCACACGTCTTTCTGCACTGTCAGCTCAGCTTCGTTTTTCTGGTGTTTTTCAGAAGCTGCCTCGCAAATACCAGGGGCATTGTGAAATATAATAAGCAACTTATTGCCTCGTTGGAGGATAATAATTCACAGTATCTGAGCTGGTAGGGAAACTGGAGGAATGTAAAAGAGTGTGCCTCCCCTCACTCGATTTGATATCTTTTTCTGCAAATCAGTTTCTTTTGACTGGCCCTTTCAGTGCTGTTAGTGACAGGAGCTGCCGGCTCAAAGGTGAAATGTCCCAGGAGGTCAAACCTCTACTTCTCTGTCAGCTGTCTGGCTCTCTCTCCATCTCCTTTGCGCACACATTCCCTCTGTAGCTGCTCCAGTCCAAGAGGGGATGACGGCGACCATTCACCCTGCAGGAATAAATCAGACAAATCTTAATCCACCCAAGTTTTTGACGGGATTATGACTTTCAGAATAAAGGTTCAAAAGAATGACAGCGGGAGCTACAAGGCACAAATTCTGAGCACTGGCTGTATAAACATCGTATTTCCGTGAGTTTGGAAGGTTGATGGCGATTTGATCAGCCTGTTTAAAATGACATTGGAATTCCCTTTAGTGACGGATCAGGTGTAACCTCAAAACCAGAGCAGGGCCATTCGGGGGTGAGATCAGGAGGCAGTTTCACAGAAAGGCACATGGAATGTGAACAGTCCTTTGCACAAAGATAGAAAAATATTTATTTCTTTATTTGAGGAATCTTGTGATGGAAAGAATGGCTGTTGTATTTCCTCTCTGATGATAGTAACAACACTTCCAAAAGAGGTATGGACATTACTGCTGCATCACGATAGCCTTTTATAGAACCGTAAAACACTGAAACAGACCCTGCAGTTCAACTTGTCCGTGCTGATCAGACATCCCAGTCTGACCTAGTCCTGTTTGCCAGCATTTGGCCCATAGTCGTCCAAACCTTTCCTATTCATTTATCCATCCAGATACCTTTTAAATGTTGTAATAGTACCAGCCTCCACCACTTCCTCTGGCAGCTCGTTCCATACACGCACCACCCTCTGCAGGAAAAAGCTGCCCCTCAGGTCTTTTTTGAATCTTTCCCCTCCTACGTCAAACCTTTGACCTCCAGTTTTGGACTCAATCGAGTTTCCAGAGCAAGTGGTGGAAGCGAGGTTACAATCAGTTGTGACCTTATTGAATGGTGGAGCTCCCTGAGATCACCAGATTTGTTACAGCAGAGGAGGAGGCCAATCAGCCCATCATGCCTGCATCAGTTCTATCCCCTTGTTCCAATCTCTTTCCTTTTCCCCCACACATCCCTGCACACATTTCCATCCAAATAACCATCCAATGCCCCTCTTGGATGCCCTAATTGAATCTGCCTCGTTCACATTTCCAGTAAGAGCATTCTATCATCAAGGGTTGAGTGGCCTACTCCACTCCGAATTTGTTTCTAAGAAAATAACCTCCATCCTTGTACTCAGCATAGACTGATACACCACCGAAACAGACCTTTCGCTCCAACCAGTCCATGCTGAACGTGATCCCAAACTCAATTAGTCGCACCTGTCTGCTTCTGGCCCACATCCATCCAAATGTCTTTTAAACATTGTAACTGTACCCACATCTACCACTTCCTCAGGAAGTTCATTCCACACGCGCACCACAGGCCCCACTATCAGCAACCGTTCTCTTATAACATTTCTTTTACCGGCTGCTCGAGTGCAGCTTTACATTTTCAAGGGTTCTCCTATTGAAGAGTTCACTCCTGTGAGTGAGTGTGAGTCCCTGACAGAGGCAGAGAAACACCTGTATATATACAGGGTACAAGACCCCATTGTTTTATTTTGGTCTATGAACCGAAAATGTGAAAAATGCTTTAAAAAGGACAGAAAACGCTGTTTGCTGATTTTGAAGAACAGTAAAGATAATTGCTGCAGTTGAAACAATGTGAATTTTTAAAATTAATTTACAGGATAAGGTCTTTGCTGGCTAGGCTAGCATTTATTGCACATTCCTAATTTTCCAGAGGACAGTTTGAGTCAACCACATTGCTGTGGGTCTGGAGTCACATGTAGGCCAGGCAAGGATGCAGTTTCCTTCCCTAAAGGACATTAGTGACCAATAGGGTTTTTCTTCAGCAATCAACAATGATTTAATGGCCATCATTAAACTCTTCATTCCAGATTTTTATTGAATTCAAATTCTACCATCTGCCATGGCAGGATTCAAACTCAGGTCCCAGTCCTTTACCTAGGTCATTGGATCAAGAGTCCAGTAATAATACCAATTAGGCCATTGCCTCCGTGAGTGGACTTCACATGGAAAGAAAGACCCTGGGTCTAACCAAGCAATGAATGAACTAAAGACTGATCATCATTGTGTGAATAGCATTGAGGTATCATCGAAGAACAGGCAAGGGGAGTGGACCAATCCTTCCAATTTTGCGATTTTGGACAGAAATGTGTTGCTCTGGTTATTATTTTTATGTCTCTCTGCTCAATATTTGGGTTTTATTTTTGTAAATCTATGTTTTTGAGTGTGTGTCTGTGTATGTGTGTGGTGGTGGGAAGCTATGTTTTAAAGAGGGGAGTAAAGTTTAAGGTGCATAAATGAGTAATCCTGTTCTCTTATTGTTTGTTTTTATTGTCACCTTAATCTCACATTTCATTGAGATAATCTTCACAACTGCTCAACCGCAGGATAGTTTCAGTGATGGAGAATGTACAGCTAACATCTTTGCCTTTCAGTGTCTTTCTGACCTGGGTTGTTGCTGGGTGTGCAATCTTACTTCCCCTGTGTGTTGTTAGTGTGACATTGTTCAGTTTCAGAGCAGTTCTTCTGAGGTAAACTTGCACGGAAAGAAGCCTAGGGTATCACCACTGCATTGGTCAACTCGAGATTCAAACCCTGGAAATGTGGGTTCAAATCCCACTCAAGTAGGTAGTGTTATGTAAATTTAATAAATAAATCAAGAATTAAAATTAGTTTAATAGCAACCATGAAATGGTTATCATCCTCCTTAATGTGTCAGCCCCCTTGTTTGCATGGGTTTTTTTTTCGACAGTTGGGCAAACTGCAACTAACACCTACCATTAACACTTTTTCCAACACCATTAGCACTCCCTTTGTTTTGCTCTGGGGCACCTTTCCCATCGGCTCCACTTGCTCCTTCACTCTTAATTTTTCTACAGCATAAAAAGCTAACATTACACTGGACATGCAACATTAATTCTATTTCTCTCTTGACACACTGCCAGAACTGCTTGGTTTCTCTGGCACTTGCTATTTTTATTTCAGATTTCCAACATCTGAATACTTTATTTCTAATTGTGGGTCTGGAGTCACATGTAGGGTAAGTATAGGTGATGGTGGCAAATATCCCTTCCCAAAGGACATTAGTGAACCAACAGTGGTTACAAGGTTACCATTAGGCTATTCTTTATTCCAGATGTTGAACTTAAATTCACCACCTGCCATGGTGAGATTCACAGATCCCCAGAACATTAATCTGCTGTTCTGCATTACCAGCCCAATGACATTACCATTGACCCACTGCCTGACACAATTGCTGTGCTTTTCAGTTTTGTTACCAAGTTATCACTAGTCTCCCCTAGCTCCTGGCTGAGGCATTGAAGTTCACACTCAAAGTGGATCTGGTGATTCGATCTTGGCTGGAGGTTGATGCTGAATCTTTCAAATGGTTCAGTCCAGTTAAGGCCACTAGCTGCTAAATGAATTTGGTCCTTTATTGCCCGCCCATGGAAGGATAGAGTTGCCCCTCTCTTCACTACTGGATGAATCTGCACTTTGGCTCAACTTCTTGAAAGTTCCTCCATCAGCAGAGTCCCATTTCATTGTGAGCTGTCACGGTGCATTTATTGCTGTACC